GACTAAAGCAGGTTTCTGGGGTTTTGTTTAGCTTCTATATTTGTTACATAGTTGCTTAGAGTTGCAGCTCAGAGGCCTGCAGCGGCAGGCGGGGAACGTTGGAGTCCTCTGTCACTGAAGCAAGCAAGCCTCATGTTCGCTTCAAGTTGCCTGGCTGCCGGCCGCCATCTTGGCTGGCAGCTAATTTGCATATCTCCCTGATTAGCCAATGGGAAGGGTAGCAGAGGTATGGCTAATTACCATGTTTCTCTTTTATTAGATAGGAGGATTACATCTCAATTAAAAAAGTCTCAATCCAACTTTAAACAGACTGGTTTTGTAGCTACAGAAAGCACATTCTAAAATTAGTGTTGGAGACTTTCAGTCAAGATGGCAGTGTAGGTAAACTCTGTATTTGCATCCCCCCACAACCACACTGAAGTAACAACTACACTACAGAACAACCATCAGAACCACGTGAAATCTGGCTGAATGGAAGTGCTACAACTAGGGAATTAAAGAACAAGTCACATAGACGGATAGGGCTGGAGATGTGGAAGGGGCTGGTCCCACACCCACACGTGACAGATAAAAATCAGGAGGGATATCTCAGCTGCAGAGGTGCCCCCTGAGGAGTGAGGGGTCCTAGCCCCACACCAGGCCCCCCAACTCAGTGGTTCCAGTGCCAGGAAGAGAAGTTGCCATGACTTCTGGCTATAAAAATCAGCTGGGATTGAGGCTGAAGGAGAGGGAGGACTGCTGGAGTCCCAGGCAGTTTCTCTTAAAGGGCCCACATGTAGACTTACTCAGATTCACTCCCACTTGGTAGCAGCCTGAAAAACACCAGAGGCATACAAGGAGGAACTGAATTGTCTAGCATCAAGGTGAAAGCTGGAGGGGATGGGGGGAAGGAAAGGGAAGCTTTCTCCCAGACAGAAATGCTGGCAGCATCCATTGTTCCTTTAATGAGCCCTCCCCACACAGAGCAGGCAGGCAGGCACCATAACTGAGACTCCATCAACCTGGCTTACACAGTTTGCCCTGCCCTGGTTATTCCCTGAGACCCTGCTCTACCAACTTGCAGGCCCACCCAACCTGTTTCCAGTGGCTTTTCTATATGAGTGGCATGTCTTGGCTCATGCTTCAGATTTTCCTAAAATCTCTCAAATATACAACATCTGGTCTCAGCGTGCCCTATATCTCTCACTAAGTGGCTCTAGGACTAGCACTATGAATATATATCTGTCGGTATAAATACATATCTATCAGTAATTGAGCCTAAAATAAAAATAAACAAGCAGAACAGAAACAGATTCATACATACACAGAACATTTTGATGATTACCAGAAGGGAGGAGGGTTAAGAGGATGGGTGAAAAAGATAAAGGGATTAAGAAATACAAATTGGTTGTTACAGAACAGTCATGGGGATATAAACTACAGCATAGAGAATATAGTCAATAATACTCTAATAACTATGTATGGGGTCAGGTGGGTGCGAGATTTATTGGGATGATCGCTTACTAGTAGTAAGTTATGTAATGTCTAATCACTGGGGTGTACACCTGAAACTAATATAATAATGCACATCAACTGTAATTGAAAAATAAAGAAAATGATTAAAAACCGTAACAACTGGTGTTTGAACAGACCCATTAAGTTTATGATCTATCTTGTGTATTAAGTTTGCTGATGCTGGTTATAAAAGGCATTATTTGTTTGGCTACTAAGAGCTATACAAATCTTTGTCATATATTCTGATAAGAAATTACTTACCTTTTCCACATCTTCCTGCTGTTGTTCACAACCTGACATTTCACAGAATCTCTGGCTAAGGGCCACAGAGCGTTTTAGTTCATCCTCACTGTCTGAATCAAGGCTCAAAGCCAATGAGCTCTTGGATTTGAAGGGGAAATTCCTGTAATTCAAGGGAAAATAAAAAAACCTATATAAGACTGATAAACACTACCATTATTTTTTTGAAACACAAGTCCAAAATAAAACAAAAGTATTTCCTATATGGAAAATAATGTAACAGAAATAAAGATAGTATCAAAAAGTATACTTAAACATTATTACCTTTGCCCCACTTCAAAAGAGTCATGCTTTGAAAATTAGACAGCTTTTATATTATTATATTTCAATAAACCAATCACTTTGTGCCTTTTTTCTTTTAATGATCAGCCCCAAAGAAGTTTGTTATTGTCTTTATAAAGCAAGTACAGTACTGAATGCATGCAAAGATAGCAATGAGTAAATGTTTTGGACAATAGAGTATGAGAACTAATTTTTGAACTTTTAATTTATGATCCATGTACTTTAAAATTAACAGTAACATTCCACTTATCCACTTATATGTAGGTCAGACATCTGGCAACCTCTACCTTCCAGAATACAGGGATTCAAAAGTAAGAAAAAAGGCTTCTGAGGAAGGCAGCATTTCAAAGCCCATGTACTTTACTCTTTAGACAGGGACCCTTCTTTCCTAGGAAATGATGTATAAAATAATGTAGCAAGTTCATCAAGAAATGAGAGCTAAGAAATGATAGAGAATAACCACAAATAGGGCAATAAAGACCTAGAAGTCATTTAATGTAAAGGTAAACCGTCTTGTAGAATAATGCCATCTAAGGGCATTATTATATTAAAACACAGTGCAATAACTGATACTCATAACGTTGATTCTAAGTCATTACAATATATTTAAATTATCTTCAATATATTTTACTTAAGAATATAAAGAATTCTGTAAAGTTACAGACTATATAACCACCTAAAATGGTTAAAATTTTTTTAAGATTAATGCTCAAAAAGACAAGCTTTAGTTATATAAAAATTCATTTATGTGGAATATCAAATATTCTTCAATGATACTAGATAAGTAAGGTGTTACTGTGTTGGCTTCCAAGTGAGCTGAAAATGAATTAAAGGAAAAAGTGGTAAAGGTCAAAGAGCACAAACTTTCTTTGATGGAGGTTAACATAAATTCATATGCTATACTATGTAAAATATGTAAAATGGAAATTGGAAAAAAGGCATTTAATTTAAAGTGAAAACTGTACATAAACATATAGAATGATGGTACCAAGAAATAAGAGGCCACAGTGGAAACCAGGAAAACTGTATAGCAATGTAGATCAAAGAAAAGAGGCAAGTGGTCAGTGATAATCCCAAACATAGTCTTTGGCTGAGAGCAGCCAGGATATCCCTGCACTTCAGCCGGAACACTTGAATAGTCTCCCATTATGTTTTCAAAAGTTTTTAAAAATAACTGAGAAATAGCCAATTAACCATCTTTATTTCTCATTTCTGATTTAATGCTCACCAAGCAAAACTGAACATGTTAAATTTGTTTATCCACATGAATACTTTGCTGAATGAGGCTGACACCTGGCTATCAATATACCAGGGTCAAATGTGATGACAAAGGACACTGTAGACAATCCAATGGTATTCTGCTTCATAACTCAGCCTCTTTTAAGTTTGATCGGCATGACAGGTCTTCTAGGGCCTAATCATCCTTTATTGACCAATTCTCAAATTCTCATACCAATAGACCCTGGAGAACAGATGACCATGCCAAGTATAATGATGCTCAATGAAACCATCTCTTTCTTGAAACTACAGTGATCTGGTACATAAAGAGTGCATTCCATTAATAGTTACTATATTCACAGAAGGCAGCTTGCCTGTAGTAATGAAAAATATTCATCCTGTAAATGCATCACTTGCTCACTTTCTAAGCAGCCAAGTGGTATTGCTCATTTGTATCTTGAGAACGGGCAAGAGTATTCATATCGGTACCATTTCTAGTCATGTTAGTCATCTGGTTTTAATTGCACTGAAAAATAATTAACAGGAGGAAAAGAAGATAGCAATTCCCAAATGTCATTTTATGGTTATATAAGCCCCCCCAAAGCCCTTAAACAACAAAAATGTCTCTTTTCTAAAAGTATGTTGGGACATCAAATTTTTAGAAAAACTAATTTTAAAGACCAATGACAAGCATTTAGACATTTAGAATTGTCTAATCAAGAAACTGTGGTCCTAGTTTAATCATAGAGGAGGTATATTTAAAAAAAGTATTTGTGTCTCATCTTGGACAAACTTTTGGACTTAAGCAAAAAATAAAAAAATAAAACATTTGTAAAGCAGGTACATTCCAATGTGTGTTTGTTTTCTGTCTCCTTTCAGAATAGCTTCAGTTCAGTGTCTAAGACAAGAAGTCCCAGATTGGCTAGCAACAAGTAAAAAGATATTTTTGATATCTCCCATATTATCCTTGAGGGATGGTGTTTTACACCAACATGGGTTATTTCAGCCCTTCAATCCTCAACATTCCTCATCATCAGTCAATTTCTAGAGAAGTAGGATGAAAATATTACATATTAACAGATGATTTTAAATGTTTTAGAACAAAATCTTGAGACGATCATCTCAAATTGCTTAACTGTTAAAAACTTGTTTTACCCCAGATTATAGTTTAAAGCAGAATCAAGAAAATTCCAAAGTATAGTAATACAGAGCAGTTATCATGCAAAAAGAGAAACAATAAAGAAAAGGGGAGGGAATAATTTTGGAAATTAGGGTAAGCCAAATCCTTAAAAATACAAATTTTGGGTACACAAGACATATAACTCACTTTGAAGGTGTAGAAGGGCTGGTGATGCAGGAATTCACCATTTGAGAGGCTTTCAATGGTCTAGAACTATCAGAAAATTAGAAAATATATAATGTATACAATTATATTATTAAAAATATATATTTAATTTACAAAATGAATTATTCTGAACTATAGACCCATATCTATCCTCTTGAAAAGCAAATAATTATACTACTTTTATTAGCAATAGAGGCCAAAGGAGAAAACAAAATACTATCTCTGGCCCAGCTGGTGTGGCTCAGGGTTTGAGCATCAACCTATGAATCAGGAGATCATCGTTTGATTCCTAGTCAGGGTATATGCCCAGGTTTTAGGCTCGATCTCCAGTAGGGGGTGTGCAGGAGGCAGCTGATCAAAGATTCTCATTATTGATGTTTCTCTCTTTCCCTCTCCCTCTCCCTTCCTCTCACTGAAATCAATACTTTTTATTTTATTTCAAGAAAGATACAGTGAACAAATAATAGAAAGCTGAAACCGTCTCACAGACACAGGGAAAAACACTGATATATATATACACACACACATATATGTATTAGAGGCCTGGTGCATGACATTCATGCACTTGTGGGGTGGGGCGTCTCTCAGCCAGGCCTGCACCCTCTCATAGTTGGACATCCTCTGAGGGGTCCTTAGCACTGCTAGGGAAGCAGGAGCCTTGTGGAGGCGGGACAGGCTCCTGCCGCAGCCACTGTGCTCACCAGCCATGAGCCCGCTGGCGAGCCCAGCTTCTGGCTGAGTGATGCTTCCCCTGTGGGAGCACACTGACCATCCTGCATTGAGCATCTGGTCAGTGCGCGTCATAGTGACCGGTCTTTCCGCCATTCTATCCCTGGCCTTTCCTTGATCTAATGACCTAAATAAACAGCATTGGAAACAAAGTCAAATGTAAATGAAGTCGAATGTAACACATATGAACAACTTGGGGAAAATTATCTTGTCCCAGTTCTTTACTTTTAAGCAATAAAATAATAATAGCTCTCATTTTTTGAGGACTTACTAGATGTCAGCCACTGGAGTAAGAATGCGTGTGTTTCACAGCATTTAACATTCACAACCATCCGATTAT